TATCGTCTTAATAAAGTTTGACTGTATATATATTTGTTTTTTTTTTTTTTATGGTTAACATTCTCGCCATCACATACGTACATATACGCCCAGTCTACCGCATACACCTATTAGCTGTATAAAAAAAAAAAAAAAAGTTGACTCACACCCCGCACTTCCTCAGCGCGACTTGACGGAGCTGATACTGACATCTATGGCAAAGAGAGTCAATTGCTCAGTAAAACCAGTAAGAATAGCAAAACAGCCAAAAAAAGAAAATGTAGAGAAAGAAAATAGAAATGGGCAGAGATGGAGAATGATGCTGAATCTTTTGGTTCCGTCTTCGGCGATGTCTTTCGGCGATGGCGACAGTCCCAAGGAACCTGACATCATCGTCTCGGGATTTGAGATAGATATCTACTTTCCTGCTGAAGAGTTTGAAATATGTTGACAAGGAAGAACAGTAATTTGATGTTGGAATGTTGACAATGCTTTTATAGTTACACAAAAACGCCGGATAAGATCAATGTACACACCAATTATGCAGGAACAACGTCTATACATATACAGCGCAAATCCAATGCAACCGTATCTACTTCTGACCACCTTCTTTCCTCTTAGCCTCTTCATCAGCCTTAGCCGCAAATCGAGCCCGTGCCAATTCGAGTTTAGACTTGGGCCGTTCTCCTTGACCATTGCTATTTCCGTTGCCCTCGGGCTGTTGATCCCGTCCCTTTGCCTTGCCTGTCCATTCGCCACGCCGTCGTTTGTAGAGGTCCATGGACCAATTGCGCCAGACCGCTCGGCCGACAAAAGAATCCCGAAGAGCCATTTCGTGCTGTGCCAGTTCTTGCGCCAGGCGCTCCTTCACGAAAAACAGGTCCTTTGTGCCTTGCCACAATGCGTCGACTACATGAGATCCGCTGCTGTCTAGCGCGAGTTCCTGCATGTGCCCATAAAAGCGGGTGGTGAATGGTCGACGGAATTGAAGAGTAGATGTTGACTGCGTAAGTGCCTGTTGCAGGACGCGAGAGGCTGTAGGGTCTTTTGCGATCTGAAGGATCAATTCTGGCGATAGTGAGGTCAGACTGGAGAAGACCAGTTGACTGAGAGGACCGGGAACGGTGAGCATTGTCTGCGCAAACAAGGAACCATGTAACCTCTCAGCAGCAGAGGCCTGAGGAGGACCCTTCTGTTGCTGCTTCTCTTCTGCTTCTTCCCCACTTCCCTGTGCCGTGCCTTCGAGTCTGAGCATTTGTTTTAGTCGTATGGTCGGGTCTTTGTCATAGGAATTCTCCAACGCGTGTGCCAGGGGTTCAGTGTTGACTCCGCGCACTAGACAACGTTCGATCAACATTTTGGGGACAACCAGTCGGGATCGCTCGATGAGTCCAGGCATCTCAGGGATGATTGATTCCATGGCTTGTTGGAGATCATCCTTTCCAAGCCGCTCCAAAGCCCGGATTACAACGTAGCCAGCAGTCATATTTCGCGCAAGAGAACCAATACGCTCACGAATGATGTTCTTGTATAAAATCTTGTATAGCTTTCCTGGCATGTACCTTACAATGGTCTCGAGCAAACGAGAGCCAACGGCGTCGTAGAGCAGGCCCCTGACGAACGAGGCACTTTCCGATCCCTCTTCAAAGTTCTCATCAGGAATCAATCTTCTTGTAATCGAATTGGACTCCTTAGCATTAGATTTACCGAAATGTGACAGCTCCAGATACACCAACACCTGAAGAATAGGATTTCCCACCGGGTGGGTGGCCAAGGCGCGAAGATATGTATCATCAAGCACAGACACCATATCCTTCATGATTTTCTTCAATGTCTCTTCGAACGACCCGGGGATGTTTCGTTTCTGTGTAATAGTGCTCTCATCCTGTGTCTCAGTCGCTGTTGGTATACCGTGTTTTTCCTTCTTTCGACTTGCGACAACCGAGTCATTCGATGCGACATCAACAGGTTCGCCTGCAAGGACAAGAAGCAGAACTCTAATAGTATGCGATGCAAATCGTTCCGTCAACAGGTATCCCCAGTTTCCTTGCAATTCTTCAACAACACCCATGAACATCTCGGCCAGCGTCCGCTGTGGCTCGACCTCATCTTCCTCCATTTCATCCACCTCCTTGTTCTTCTTGGGCTTGCCGTTTTTCTGTGTCACACCAGGTGCTGCGTGGACAAACAATGTCTCGCAACAGTGGCTCGCGAATCGATGCTGGACGAGATGCAGGAAATGGCCATTAAATTTGTCGAAGAGTCTCCGGACCTGACGGATATCGGAACTAGAGATCAATTTCTCCACGAGACGTGAGCACGACTGACTGCATGCCAGCTTCAACTCCTTCCCCTTGGCCTCTCTATAGACACTCTCAACGAACAACCTCCGCTCTTCCGCATCCTGAAACTGGTTCAATTCCAATATTTCGTTCGCCTGCGAGAAGTATTCCTGCTCTTGCGTATCGAGAAGACCATAGAAAGGTATATCATTGTTAAGTTGTTGCTCCTGATCGTAGTTTCCATCTAGGGAAATGTAATCTGGTGCTTCTTGCATGGGCGCATCTTCAACCTCATCGCCGGATTTCAAACGCTTCGGCGCGGAGTCTTCGGGCGCTTCATCGCGCTTTCGTTTCGAGGCATCCTTCTGGGATTTCTCCTCCGCGCGACGACCTCTTTTTTGCTTTTCGCGAGGCATTATGGGTGACGGTTATGTGTTGCGAGTGGTGATTTCCGAGGACTGCAATCTTTCTTTTTTCGCTTTTTTTTCTTTTTTGATAAGCGGTGGTCCAAGCTCTTCCGCGGAGTGATTGTTTGATTTGTTTGCATCCAATCAATCTAGAGTACAGTCGTGGTGTTGGCTGCTAATGATACACTTTTATCTTAAACAATTGCTCATAATAATACATCCAAATATTTTAGACAGCAGAGTAAAGGCCAGAAATATGTCGTCCGCATTCGACCCGCTGCTCCATGTCCACGGTTCGTTTGCCAGCCTTGCCCTTGTGACGAGGCATGATTTGCAGCCGTGCTTCTCCCTTGTCCTTGTCTCCAGGCGCTGGAGGAGCATTAATATATGTTGGCCGTGCTAAGTTGCTCCGCTTGCCAGTTCCCAATTGGTAGTGTTCATTTCCTCCCCACCAAAGTGCATCATACCCCCAATCCTCGTTCGTCTCCAGAGCCTTGGTAGATGCGGAATGTATATGGGTGCTGTTGCCCATTACTGCCGCTGCATGTGTCGTGCCAACAGAGATATCGCGTAACCGGATAGGAGAGACCTTTTGTCTACTTTCGTCGAACTCGGACAGGCCACTCAGTGCTTTCACCTTGGTAGGCTCATCTTGTAGATGAGTCCATTTTCCGTTACCGAGAAGTCCCCAAATTCCCCGTCCACATGTCCAGGTATCGGCTGTGATATGGCCCAGATCGTGGACCGCAGAGGCGTCCTCTTTGCGACCCAAAACACGCTGCGCATCCACTGTAAAGAAGCTGTTGGCGCCACCAGCGGCAATTTGGGTTACCGTGGGAGTCCATTCGTTAGCTCGGTACAGCCTCGAGATGGGCAGCAAAACGGGGGTATCAATAAACGGCGAAGAGGCGTCATAATCCATGCCCAACTGCCCGAGGGAGTTATCCCCAAAAGCAAATACCTGACCATCCTTGCTGAGGGCCAGAGAATGGTAGTCGCCAGCGGCCACTTGCGTGATCTTAGTGTCCTTGAGCGCGGTGACCTCATGGCAGGCGTCTACCGGTCCACTTGGCCGGGTGGACCAAGTAAGCCCTGGAATACCAAGTTGCCCAAAAGTAGGGTAGCTCTCCGTCGATGACGCAACGGAGAATACGCGGCCCGAGCTGGTGAGAAGCAGAGCATGCTCCGATCCACCACTGATAGCGGTAACCTTCTCGGTCATTCCCAAATTAGGTTGGAGTTGACGGTAACTGACACCAGCTTCGCCTGATAAGAACGGCATAACCCACGAGCTCTCCTTAGGTTTTCGACCAGACTGCTGGTCCTTCTTGGAGATGGGTAGCGAGTAGACCTTTCCATCGGATGATAGTGCAATAATTCGGTCGTTAGACATGCACAATGAGGTCAGGTTCTTCCCGGTCAGAGTTTCCGTAGGCTTGAAGTCAGACTCCGAGAAGCCCTTACCCCATTGGATCAGGTCGCCCTTATCACTAATCGCAGCACCGGATTTCTCTTCGAGCTTGAGATCTCGAAGCACTTGTCCATCAAAATAACTGAGACTTCGAGGGGTCTTGATGACGGACTCCTTGGAGTCCGGGTCCACAACACGGTAGGCATTGGTACCCCAGAGATAAACACCAGGGCTTCTCAGGCTTCTCTTTTTGTGGACAAACTGAGTTCCTAGGTCTTCCTTGATCTTCGGAAGGCCCTTCGCTTTTGCTTGTTCCCCGAGCTTGTCGCTATCAGTGGTAGCATATGTATAAACTAGGAACGCAGCAGTTCCAGCGCCCGCAAATCCCAACGAGTTTCGAAACCAGTTGGAATTATTTGATGCGCCTTGGTTAGTGCTTGCATAAAGACGACATGATGAAACCGCAGGCCGGCGAGCTCTAGCAAGGCGAGAAAGGATGAGAATATTCGTCGTAGGTTGTCGTGCCCGGTTGGTCCACATTATGCAGATAGCAGAAGACTGGGAAAATGTACATAACAATCAATTTCTTTGCCTTTAAAAGGACCAATGTGTATCAAGCTTTCCAAGAGCTCTTGCGTCAGTAATTGAAGGCGGATTGGAGCGGCAGAATACCGCATCTCGAACGGCCACGACGGTCAAGTCAAGAGAAGGACGAGCCAAGAATGAGACGATCTGCTCGGGCTTGTGCGCTGAGTTGACGGGCTGCTACCTGGCGTCACTTTATATCGGCTATATAAAGACATGAGTCCCGAGAGAACAAGCGCCTACTGCCATTTCGCTCTTTGAATTGCGACCTCACGATGCGGCCAGAAATTGCGGGTCAACGAAGTCGCCGGCAAACCGTTTCCTCCGGTCCACCGCCAGAGCCCAAGTCCAAAGATATTCAGAGATTTGGAAAGTTACCGGAGGACTCTAAGTCAATTGACGAGCTTCAGAACGAGCTGGAATTCCTCCAGTGGTATGGCAGGGTCGAGGATGAATTGCTGGAAGCCAGCTATGATGAATACCAGTAAGCAGCATCAATTGCAAAATGGCCTTACTATGTCCGGTATCCCCAAAACTGACTAGCTCTCTTTGATTTATCAAGGTCGTGCCTCGATGAGCTGCAAACCTCAAAATCGCACTTGGACGCCCTCCTATCCGATACCTCGTCTACCCTCAACCTCCTGAGCAGCATATCGGAATCCTTCAAGGCAGTCGAATCACAAACGTCCAGTTTCCAGAAGAAATGTGAGGGTCTGCTGTCCGCGCAAAGACGCGACCTGAAATTAGCGGCCGATATAGAAGGAAATTTACAGTATTATAACTTACTGGATCCTGCTTCCAGAAGGCTTAATGCCCCAGGGGCTGGGAACACCGTTCGTGGGGAGGATTTTTCAGATATGCTTAGGCGCTTGGATGAATGCTTGGACTACATGGAAACACATGTTAGACCCCTATTCTCACATGATGAGCGTTGTTATACTGAACCGGTTGGCTAATTCCTCTCTAGCCTGGGCAAAAAGAAGCTGAAGTATACCGGTCAAGGTACCGGCTCCTTCTAACCCGTGCTCTTACTCTCATCCGAGGTCATTTTGTTTCTGCATTGCGCGATATCCATATCGACGTCTCAAAGAAAATATCAAACCAGCAACTGAATGACACCACTACGTCCGCTCTCCTGTATGCGAAATTCAAAGTCGGTGCACCTGAACTAAAGCAAATTGGTCTCGAAATTCAGAAGAGAGCCGTGCCTCCACTCGATCCTGACCAAGGCAACGAAGCTGAATACCAAAGTCTTTTGAACGAGCTTCACTCTAATTTCTCTGCAACCCGAGGTAAATTAATTATACCATTGGTCCGCAAAAAGCTCAACGACATTGCGCTCGCGCCGAGCACATCAGAAGATTTGGTCGCCTTCGCTCGGGGTAGTATCAGCTATATCCGTGGTGTATGTTTGGACGAGTTCGAACTCTGGAGCGAATGGTTTCATGGTCAGGGAGGCCTATATGACTTTTTGGAAACCATATGTGAGCCTCTCTACGATCACCTCAGACCAAGAATCATTCGTGAAGACAAAATCATCAAACTTTGTCAACTGTGTACATTACTGCAAACTCGCTACCTTCTCGATCCAGACGACGAAACTGAGCAAGCAGACGCCAACCAACTTGACTTCTCTGTTTTAATACAACCAGCCCTGGAAGATGTACAGACTCGTCTTGTCTTCCGCTCACAAGCGTTCCTGCACGATGAAATTGAGCGGTACAAGCCTCGTCCGGGTGATCTCGACTACCCTAAACACAACCGTGGGGCTTCAATATCGGTAACAGAAAGCCAGATTTCAGGCAAGAAGATGGTACCTGCTGATGCGGTGGTGAGCTTGTCTAAACCAACAAAGCAAGAAGATGGCGGCGATTCGCCAGACCAGGATTCGAAGTGGGACTTTGATGAATCGCAAGCTGTTTTAAGTGGGTGGTATCCGACATTACGGAAAGCCATTTGGCTCCTGAGCAGGATATATCGACTGGTCAATGTATGCGGGTCTTTCCAAACAAAATTTCTTCCTCTAGCTGGCTCAAAGCTAACCTCTCAAACAGTCTACCGTGTTTGATGATTTAGCGCATCAAATCGTGCACCAAACCAACTTATCCCTCCACCAAGCAAGCATCCAAGTGTCGAACAAGTCACTCGCAGACGGACAGCTCTTCCTAATGAGCCATCTGCTCATTCTAAAACAGCAGATCGTCGCGTTCGACATCGAATACGTTGCTCCAGAAGTCTCCTTCGATTTCTCTGGCATCACCAGCACATTCTGGGAACTCCGCGAACGTGGTGGTCTCTTCAACCCAGGCAACTTAATGCGCCTCGTCGGCCACGGCCTGTTACCACGAGTAGTAGAAAACATGCTCGACGCCAAAGTTGAGCTCGATGGCCGACTCCGCACAGTCATAAATGAGTTCATCAACGGCTTCTCAGACAAGATGACCTCGTCCCTTCCCTCGAAATTCGTCGACACGCAAAACCTCCAGCGCGGAGAACTGATCTACCCCACCTGCCGGAATGTCGAAAATGAAGTACCGGGTCTCCGTAAGATCCTCAACGACTACCTTGACGATACCCGTATGAAAGAGACACTGGTGGGTGCCGTGCAGGACCGGGTCATCCAGATATACGAGGATTTCTTTGACATGTACACGTCCTCCGAGAAGCGGAAGGGTAACGTTGTCAGTAAGAAGGGCAAGGGCCGGGAGGATGCGGTATGGGATATAGATACTTTTGCAGAGTGGTGTGAAGGTATTTTTAGGGTTGGTGCCACCGGTATTCGCCCCGGAGATTTGGGCGATGACGATGAAGCCATGAGCAGTAGGAGTTTGAGCATGAGTGTTAGTAGAAGTGGTAGTATAGGGTCGTTGCGTCGGTAGTGACCAGCTTATGTCACTTCGATATTTGTACGTATTGAACATCATGTGGCTGCCCTTGGTTGTGGCGCAGTGACAGGCAATGCGATTTTGCGAACAGAAAAAAAAATCCTTGTCGATGCCACGTGGTCAACCTACAGGCGGATGTTGATTCAAAAAAATAAGTCCAGGTATCTACCAAGTAGCATTCTACTAATTAAATCAAAGTCATGACTCGATTGAGCCGCCTGCAATTTCTGGGTGTCGCAGTGGTATTCCACCTGCTCTGCATCTGCTCAATTTTTTATACTTATTTTGTCAGCCCCGTCGTCAATGGCGTGAATGCGTACCGCGTCGAATACCCAGAGCCTCCAGCTAAACGAGCTGTCCTTTTCGTCGGTATGCAACTCCTATGCTCGAAGAAATGCAGCAATTGACTAAGACCGCCTGTCGATTCCAGCCGATGACCTCCGCGCAGACAGGGCCTAACAAAAGTTCCCTGATCCGTCGCCCAACGCCATCCAGTGACACCCCTGCTGCACAAGTACCACGCCATTTAGCTGCCATACGTGGAGCTGGGGCAGTATTGATATCCTCCTCATGTTTGCCGAAGGAGCTGTACCAGGTCGAGTGAATAATTTTATGTACAGCGCAGAAGCTGAGGATTATAGCAAGGATGCTATGGGATTGGACACCTGGGTCTTCGACCAGGTAAAACTTTTGTCCAACAGCGCAGAGAATGACGGAGAGTTGGAGCGAGAACCCAGACAGGACCAAAACGTCTTCTTCCTACACTTGTTTGGCCTGGATACCTCTGGCAACTCCTACCGGCCATACTCCCGGGAGTATCTGCACAATATCCAAGTCGTGGACGAGGGAGGTCGTGAAATAACTGGGCTCATGGAAACATTTTTCAGAGATGACAAGACTGCGTTTGTCTTCACAGCAGATCACGGTATGATTGATTGGGGTAGCTATAGAGACGGGCATCCGGATAACACAAGAACACCACTCATTGCATGGCCCCCCCCCCCCTTAAAGAAAGTCGGCCACGGGCAATGCTGGTGGGCACGATTACTTCTCTACCGACTGGGACCTGAATCATATCCAAAGAAATGACGTTGCGCAAGCAGACATTGCTGTCCTGATGGCATACCTCGCAGGCATCCATTTCCCGGTCAATTCTGTTGGTAGGCTTCCCTTGGCCTATGTCAATGCAGACGACTCTATTAAAGCAAAGACAATGCTCATAAATTCCCAGGAGATAATGGAAACATATCTAGTTAAAGATGACCAAAAGAAGGCCACCAGAGTATGTTTCAGGCCGTTTAATGGGCTCCCCTAAGACAATTCAACCCATCAGATGCTTGGGCATATCCGGAAAGCCATCAATGAAGGTGAATTAAAGAAGGCAATCAGGGACTGCGACAATTTGATGCAACTTTGCTTAGAGGGACTTCGCTACCTACAAACATATGACTGGCTTTTTATTCAAGCTCTTATAACTGTCGGCTATTTGGGATGGATTGCGTTCTCACTCACCGCAGCACTCGATCAGTATGTTCTAAACGGGAAAACGGAAGCTTGCCGCTCGATCGCAAGCAAGGCTGTCTTAGGTTCAATCCTTGCTGCGCTTTTCGTAACACTTTATGTGCGGAATTCTCCTGCCAGTATTATGCGTATTTCCATATTTCCTGTTCTATTTTGGGAGGAGGTCCTGGCACGCCGGGAGACATGGATTGGTATCACCAAGGTCACTTTAAAACAGGTATCGGCCAACGAGCTTGTAGAAAGGGGCCTTAGTGTGATGGCATCTGGCGTACTGCTGGAGGTGATTGTAAGTCCATCACAGTTACTAATACCCCAGTTTACGTGAATTCAAATTGACCAGGTCCAAAGTTATTATTATCGGGAAATCTATACGCTCGCTTACGTGCTTGCTATATACTGGCCTGTATTATATAGCTTTGAATTCTTTCGAGCAAACTGGATCATATGCTTGAGATGGGCACTGCTATGTGCTGCAATGAGCAAATTTACGCTTCTCCCTGCATTGAAAATGGAAGATATCAATCTAATGTACGTCAGATTTCCATGTAAATAAAGCGTTATCAAACTAATAGACATGGCAGCACAATCGGAGGACTTATTATGTTTGTGTTGGGGGCTTGTTACAGTGCATTTGAGACGAGAATCGTCGATGTACGGGCGTCTAGTCGGATCTCGAGGGTCATATTGACATTTCAGGTGCGAGTTTTAGATGCAATATCACTCCATGGCACTAACTCTAACCGCTAGGTTGGATTACTGCCCTTGGCCATACTTGTTACGCGCTCCGCAGTGACATCGTTGCAATCCAAAACAGGGCCTTCGCTCGGGACGCAGATGACTGGATGGCCCATACTTGGTAATTGCTGAATTTCTTTTGTCTCGTTTACGGAAACGACTGACACTGGTAGTGACCTCCTTCATATTGCCGTTGTTGCACTGTCTTCAGTCAGGAGACAGTAACTACTCTCGTCGTTTGGCAATTGTGTTTTTCGCCTTTGCCCCGATGTTCATTATACTCACCATCTCTTATGAAAAGCTCTTCTACGTCTTCATCATTTGTACGCTGTTTCCATAAGTGCAAATTGAGTATCGAATCCGCCGATCTCACTCTTATATTATTCCCGAGAAGAAGATAGCCCATGATGGCGATAAGAACAGATCTCTCATATTCTCCGATGCAAGAATTGCTCTATTCTTCCTTTTTCTACTACACTCCGCCTTTTTGAGTACCGGGAACATTGCCTCCATCTCGTTTTCCCTCGATGCCGTGTTCCGCTTGATCCCCGTATTTGATCCATTCAGCCAGTCAGCATTGCTGATCTTGAAAATCCTTGCACCTTTTGCCCTCGTCTGCCAATTTGGGAATTCTGATCAAGAAGCTAGTCTCCGCACTGGGGCTCTCTTCACGCTTGTCATGGGCATGAGTGACTACTTGACGCTTCGCTTCTTTTGGGCTGTCAAAGATGAAGGCTCCTGGTTTGAGATTGGAGAGAGTATCACAGTCTTTGTCCTGGCTTCCTTGTTATGTGTCTTCATTGCTGCTTTGGAAATGATTGGTGAGCTATTTGTTAGGGAAGTTGAATTTAGAAGGCAAGACGGCGCCTCTACAGATGCCGATCCAAAGCAGAAGGTGTCGTGAAGGGCCATCGCGAGATAAATATATAGTTCCGGCATATTATGTACTGTGTAATCACTTTTCCCATATAATAGGTGACTTTATCTAGTCTAATGCAGGTTGCTGTCACGTGCTCAATAGCTAGAAGATATTAACGAATTGATATTCCTATCTAAACCAACTAGTAGCCATCGACGAGAATATCGAATCTGGAGAAGAAAAGAAAAATAAGAGGCAAGTCTACTTACATGAAGAAGTCCCATATGGTTGTGTGTGGTCTCGCTAAACAGCTTGTTTGTCTTGGTTGCTTCCGTAGTATTGTTTGCCGTGTTGATGATGTTTGCTGATGAAGGCGCTGGGCTGAGCCGTTACAGTTGCCCAGGAAATGTTGGCAGTCATCGACTCCTTTGTTGTCCCATCCTCTCATACTTGTACCTATGATACTTTCTAGAGTGACCGTGACTTACTTCTCTGGAAAAAGATTGCCCAATAAACTTCATGTGGCTGTCCTTATGCAATTCTTGCTGTCATGTGGACGCCTACGTATACAATTCTAGGTTGAAGCAACAAGGAACATTCTTCAACCCTTTCAATACGGTCATGACTCGGCTGAGTCGTTTTCCGCTACGGTGATATTCCATTCTCTGTATCTATACAAAGAGCCTAGACAGGTGGTCCCCTTCATCGGCGGTCCGATATGCCCCTGTAACCTAAAATTTGGCAACTCTACAAGGGTCTAAGAATAGCCCTTGTGCTGACAAGCAGTGCGCCTAGGGGCTCTATCATCACATGAGTACTGCGGCATTTGCTGGATCCTTGAGTACGAAGATCTCTCAGCTGTCACAATGGATTGGAAGCTAGGTCCAATTGGTTTTGATGGCCGTGTGGATCGGGTCGGCATATCTAAGCTGAGACCCAGAGCTGAGCCCAACTTCCATGGACAATGCAGAAGCTGAGAATCTTCCCATAGTTGCCACCGACATGAATGTGTGGGTTTTTGATCGGTTTTTCTCAACCATGACTGCCAAAGATTCGTTCTGTCCGGTGAGAAGCACACTATTGACTCCTTTTTCTTCCTGCTTTCTTCCTCTTCTCTCTTCTCCCACCAGGGACAGTTGACAGCGAGGGAGGGGAGCGGAGGACTTGGCCGGCTGGCCGGTTGTGTGGCCCACCTTGTGTGCATCTCTGTCCCTGAGGATCGAGTTGGGACCGTGGAACGCTTGCGCGCACGATTCGAGGCCAGTGAGGCTCAATATCGAACTTGGCTTACACCAAAATATCTATGGTTAGCTATACCATCATTTGCAATTCCAGTTCCTGAAGATGTCGTTAAACAATCGATCACCTTGGCTTGCTTCCTCACGGCCGTCCATGCACACCATGTACTCTGTCTGGATAGCTCTCCCAAAATCAGAGAAGATTTCAATGCCACCTTAAACGTCTAATTTGATGCGAGATCCAATGGCAACTATCCACATTCTGGCCCGGTTCATGTGGTGGCCTTGACTATTCCGGAGTGTCTGCCAGAAAGGATAGCCATAATGGCGCGGTTCACGGATTTCACAATTCTCAGTGATGGTATTAATACACCTTGAGTGAGTATCTCCTCTATGTTAATGAGTAATAGGCTACTATGATAGTGTGGAGATTGAGAAGGTGACATCGTTCAAGGCGCAGTTCCAGGCTTCCGTTAGGAACTTGCATGACGACCTCGGCGACAAGGATGCATCCCTCATCAGAACCAAGAAATTCCAAGCCGAAACCTTCGTAGATATGCTAGAGTTAGATCGGGATTTGGCCATGGATGTTATGACCACGTACGGCGAAGATTCGGGGGGGGGCCACCTTCCCTTCATCTGGAGTACAGACATTGAAGGGTTTTCTACTCATTCGTTTCATCAAAAGTGGTCTTCAGTAAGCCCTTCTAACGAAGGTCCTTTACATCATTCGTCGGCTGACAAGGTATAGCGTATTTCAAGAAATGTCATGCTTCGAACTTGGAATTCGTCTTAAAAAAAGGAGAAAGCAAAGTTTTCTGAGATCATCACTCTAACACTATATGCGGCTTCTCTGATCAATGACTAACATAGCTAGCCTAAGGAAATGACCACATTGAAATAGAAGGTTCTGAGGCACCGCTTAATGCTGTATCCGCCCTGATGCAGCAGTATAATTGCTCCGAGACGGAGGCACTCACTAAGCCGCATTGTGAATATACCGAAATGCAGGAGAAACACCTTTCCCTTGGTAAGAAGCTCGAGCAAGGAGAAGGAGAGCTTTTAGACACTTACCGATAGTATATCAAGGCAGCACAGTATACGACTTTGGGGTCAGAATTTTAGAGTACCTAAGTTCCTCGCCAACCAACCAAAGCTGATCTCAATCAACCGGAATGTGCTCTTATTGATGAGGCCTTCAAGTATAAGGCTGCCGATATTGTTCCGGATAACCTGATAGGGTCGAAATTAGCTGTTCGTTATACTGGCTGTGCTGCCGAAGGCGACCATGTGACTGGCAGCCTGTTAAATGATAAAGCCAGTTTCGACATCAGCAGCTGATTGTGTCAATGGGGTCAACGGTATTGAAAACGCTCACTCCAATTCCCATATCAACGGTCACACTGGTACGCGCAACGTCTTCAGTGAAGTGATCAAGCCCGCGAATGATGTGCGTTGACTTCTATTGACATAATCCAGCTACTAACAAGGCAGATCGTGCTCGCTCCATACGAATACATCATGCCCTTGCCAGCGAAGAAAATCAGAGATGTGTTCATCGACGCTCTAAATTGGTGGCTCGACATCCCACAGCCAACCTCGTCGTCGATTAAGGGAATTATCGACATGTTCCATCATTCGTCGTTCATGTGAGATAAACCTCGTCTCCTATCTCCTCTCGCTCCTTTCAATCAGCGAATAGTTTCCCAGCTCATCTTCTGGCCATTTTCAGGCTTGGTTATATCGAAGATGACTCTAAGCTTCGACGTGGTAAATCGGCTACACACATGCTGTATGGAGCCGCGCAGACAATCAACTCGGCCAATTATGTCTTCGTCAACACATTTGCAGAACTAAGCAGTCTCCGCAGTCCAGCTGCGTCTGCCATTTTTGTTGGTGAGTTTACTAAGGTTACATCACTGAAATGCGTGCTGGTTATTTCGCAGGCTGGTTGCAAAATATACAATGTGGGCAAGCTTTCGGGTTGCATTCGAAATATCACACTCCTGCCCAACAATCGACGAGTATATGATGATGATTGATAATAGTACCTTGTTTTATGGTATACATTCATTGCATGCTCTAACATACTTTAGAAATTGGAGCTCTGTTTAGACTATGCGTTCGACTCATGCAAGCTGAATCCTCTGTCTCATGGTACGTATGTCTGCATTATCTACAACGATCCCTTCTAACCGTGAATAGTCAGAACATCAACCCCATCGATTCGTAACTCTTCTCAGTCGACACTTCCAAATTCAAGATGATTATCAGAATCTCACTGCAGACGAAGTACGTCAATCCGACCACAACATCTATATATATGCACATGCAGTTATCTAACAGTAACAGTACATCGAGTTGAAAGGCTTCTGCGAGGACCCTGACGAACGCAAAATCTCCCTGCCTTTGATATAGACTTTTCCAAAGCCAGGTACCCATCAAGCTGTGATCCGAGGCGTCTCCCAGAACAAAGCCACGGGCGAGAATTGCTCTGGAAATGAAAGAGTGGACATTTACGCATATGCGAAAAACGGAAGCACTAGAATCCACGCTTGCTTTGCATCGTGAAATGTAAGATGAGCTGCTTGATGAACTGAGCAGTTTGGAGAAATTTGGGCTGAAGAATTCAGTTCTTAAGTTGACATTGCTGAGATTGCGGTTATAGAGCTATTTTTCTGTCAAAATCATGTATTACCTGATAAAAAGACATATATATTATAAACACCAAGTTTACTCATCAAATCACTCATTTCATTCCATGAAGACTGTATTAAGAAAGGGTAATAAACACTCCAATCCAACAAGAAATGAGAAGAAAGAAAGTCAATAATAAATAGGATATCGTCAAAAACAAAGGCGAAAACCAAAGAAATGTATCAGGTCGTCACTTCCAGTTCCAGTTACAGTCCTTTATCCAAATTTTGCGAGGTACAACACGAATATGCAATCGACAAGAATACGCAGTAACAACACACTTTTGGAAGGAATGGGTATGATGCAGAAACAAATATAAAAAATAAAAAACAGGACCGAAAAAAATTACAAGAGAAGCCAACAAAACACATATATACGCCTTGGCGTGTTTTGAGTTTATAGGCGGTCCACAGAAGGAAGGTCATTAGAGAACATGGCGGATTTTGGCGTAGAGTTCGGTGTTAAGGAAGTTGTATTTAGAATCGGGCGCACAGAACGGGTGAGTCAGGAGGGTCTCGGCGGTTGGACGGTCAGAGGAATCACTAGAAATCGATTAGCTCGAGAACGAAGGAGTAGGAGGGAATAATGAACTTACACAGTGAAGCAGTCGTACATGAAAGCCAAAGCTGCTGGACTGATGTTCATGGAAACGTCCTCGGGAATCGGAGGAGCCTGGTTCAGACTTCCGAGCTTGAAGATAGCACCAATAGCCTCTTCTCTGCTCCATGGACGACGGCCGGCGAACATCTCGAGAACCACACAGCCAAGGGACCATATATCAACCTTGGCACTGTATCCCTGGCCCTGCGATTGGATGACCTCAGGAGCCATCCAGAACACGGAGCCTTGCATCGAGTTGCTCGAATCGTTTCCGTAGATGTCGTCAGTCTTCTTGGAGATACCGAAGTCCGATATTCTGCAACTGCCGTCAAGATCGAGAAGGATGTTGTCTGCTTTCAGGTCGCGGTGCAGGATTCCTTGGTGGTGCAGGTATGCCAATCCATCGAGTGTTTGGCGCGTGAGGGATTGCACGACACTCTCCTCGAACTTGCCGTGTTTGCGGAGACAGCTACCGACCGAACCACCAGAGATATACTCGAGGTAAATAGAGATGGAAAGTTCTCCTCGTTCACACCCCAGATACTGCACAATGTTCGGGTGTTCAAGGTGCTGCATCGTGTCGATTTCTTGGTTCAGAGCGGAAACCATGTCCTTAACTCGATCTCTATCTTGTCCGGCAATCCTAGGGTTGATGTCCACTTGTTTGACAGCCAAGACTTCACCATTGTCGGCGTTCATGCCCAGATACACCCGTCCAAACGTTCCCTTGCCAATAAGTTGACCACGGATGATACGGAAAGTTGGTTGTCTCTGAGGCACGGGTTCTTGGGCAGGCTTGTTTTGCGGAATGGGGTCAAGTTGGTTCAACCGTCGACCGGGTCTTGGACTGATTTGCATGATCTTCGCGCCAAACATCTTGGTACTCTTGCGACGAAGTATGTCGCCTGACTTCTGAGGACCAGAATGGGCGACACTACGACTTCTACTGGTTTGATTGGCTCCCTTCGCGACTTCACGAATTGACTTCATTCTTGTGAGTCCACCAGAGCGGTTAACATTGCGTCTGGCAACGACGCCCTGATCTTGCGCTTTCATCGTTGGCTCGCCATCATGATTGAATGAGCTTGCGGGAACATAGCCATCCTGTCGTTGTGTGCGGTGCGTATCGACGTCCGCTGGGTTCTTGCTCGCTGGCGAGGTGGGTGGCGAGCCTCCTTGTCCTTCCAAGTAAGGCGCATCGAGGTCAACATTCGGGAAGAAGTCGTCCAGGTTGTCGATGACGCCTTCAACTGGGGGTCTGCTGGCCCAGATATCGCCCCGTGCAAACGAATCTCTTCGAGGCGGTCTTTCATCTTCTGGCGATTCGGCCGCTCCGAAAGGCGCCGGCGCCGGCACATCGCGGTTGTCACCGCTACCACTGACAAAGCCTTCACCAGAGGTATTTGGCGTCTTGAAGGTCACGGACCGTCCTTTACTTGCCCTTGGTTCCGTGTCCAAAGTAAGCGATGGCCTTGCGGCTTTCTGTGCTTCCGGAGATGCGGTTGCGGACCCTTGTCCCTTCTCCTGGCTATGGTTCGCTATCGGTACGGCAAAGAGACCATCGTCAGATTCATCATCATCATCAGAATCATCCTCCTGTAGATCTGGAGTTCGCTGGAATGAGACATCTGCCTCCTCGAAATCAAACTCAGGACCGTAGGACTTGCGAGATTGTAAAGTTGGTTTTGGTACAGGTGAGGTAGCTGAAACGGGAGATTTCTCGGTGGCCACTGGAGTTTTCGGGGTGTCGTTCCATGTTGCAGGCGCAACTTTAAGTTCATCTAGTATAGCTTATTAGATAAAGATAATAAAAAATAAAAATAAAGAGACGAAACAGAGCAAAAGAGTAACATACCTGGCGTGTCCTCTGACGCCTTATGATCAGCCGGATTAGTCGAAGGCGTTCCGATTGCACTTGTCAATCTACCCATACTGGCAAGAGCTGCGCCGAGACCATGAGTCTGAGGTTGAGGTTGAGACTGAGACTGAGATTGAGACTGAGACTGAGACTGAGGTTGAGGTGCTTGTTGGAGCCGTGGGCGATCAGAATCTTTCTTCCGCAGCGAGTTGACCTTCGTGAGAGTGTTAGATTCATTTGGTGCGGTAGGAGGCTTTCGGTGAGGCACCAAGTGTTCGGCTTTCTTATCTTCATATGGCGAGATTCGTGGAGAGTCGAAGTCTATCACACCCTCTCGTCTGTAGCCAGTTTCACCGTAGACAGCATCTTTCCTTTGCTGTGTCAAGGGTGGACCCCTGGTGATGTTGTTTGCTTTCTGTTTCCGCTCGATTTCACGACTATGTTCCTCCTGACGTGCAAGTAAAGCTGCTTTCTCGGGATCAAGATGGGTTCCTATAGATTCTGCGCTGCAATCGGCTGCTGGTGAGACTCCAACAAAAGGCTGCGAAATGTCACGAGCAGGAAGCTTCGTAATCGGACTCCTTGTTTGCTGAAGGGGTTGATGGTGTGGTGAGATCCTACTGAGAGCTTCCTCGTCTAACGGTTTTCGGTGTACATGATGCGGCCCCGTTGTGGGTGACGCTGCCGCTTTTTCCGGGAATGATACTCCAAGACCAGTACAGTGTGCAGCATTGTTTGTCCCGGGATGAGAATGAATTCCACGCACGAAAAACTTCAGAGAGCCAAATGGATCCGATTTGGTCCGTTGTGTCACAGTCAACAGGGAATCATCCAAGGGATCCTCGTGCTCTGTCTGCCCAGGTTCGGTCAAGAATATCTGGGCACTGGTCCAATCGGAGATTCCAAGGTTTTGGCAAATTGTAGAACGAATTGTCCCCACGGAATCTATGTCAGTGATGTCTACCAGACGGTAGTTCCACCCATCCATGGTCACAAAAACGAACTTTTTGCCTTTTTGTGCTGGCTTGGCTCGTGCTGGTAATCGCTCGAAATCCGACTGTGAGCCCGACAATGGGCGCCCTCCTAAAGACACATCGCTACGGCTATAGTTCGGATAGCCGTATGGGGTGTATGTTCCACGCGTATGCACCGGACTTGTAGGGGACTCCAAATGAAGCTCTTCGGGGGACGGGTGACAGGAGTCATTAGGCCTAGTCTTCTTCTTGAAAAATTTCAATAATTTGTTTTGCTCTCTGTGCAAACTTTCTCCACTGTTCCAATGACGATTGTACGGATCATGTGGCGAGGGACGAGCGCCTTCCTGTTCTTGCTTTCGCTCGTAGTATCGAGCCCGGGTCGAATCAGAACTATTGCCCCGAGAGTGTTCGAACCTCACGCTCAAATCGCTAGTAGATGATGATGACAGCCCATGATTCGCAAGCATGGCAGGCTGTGTTGCTGGGCTGCCACTCTTGGGACTGTCTTCATGCGGCCGAGCAGATAACGGAGGATGACCACTATCGTTAGACCGCTGTCTTCGATGGTTGTCACTAACGGCAGACAGCAAGGTCCTATGGTGTTCTGCTGGGACCCAGGTATTAGTCTCGGGCGGAGTTTGATCCAGAGCAGGAGTGTCATGTATGGAGGGGTAGTTAGGCATCGTGACAGAGCGCATTTGCGGATTTTGTCGGTGGTTATGGGGCGCTCTAAGACCGGGACTGCTCTCGATCGCACCATGGGTGGGGAAAATAGGCTCAAGTCGAGGAGAATTATCCACCGCTGAGTGAGGCTCCTGTCGTCTCGGCGTAAGAGACCCCGTGTCGTGATGGCCTTGGTCATGGATTTGGCGAATTAACCTGCGCATTTTCTTTCCTTCTTCTCGTTCACGGCTCGAATCCCAGCCTGTTCCACTTTTCTCACATTCTTTTGCTAACTGAGGATAGACGACATTGTGCATTTTTCCAAAGTTGCCAAATCCGTTTGATCCATATCCTAACTCGATAAAATCTGCTCCTTGGAGCTCCAAGGCTCTAAAGGTCTCCTGCCAGTCTTTGGAGAACCCATTTTTCGCGAGCCATAGGAGCACTCGCTCAAGCGGCCATTGGGTAGAGGCTTCATTTGGCGACATCCCCCCAAGTGATGCACTACTATTGTTGTGGCGGTGACTTGGAGATTTCGATAAATCGGTCGTTCGATTCGCACTGCTTGATTGACCTGGAGAAAGAACGTTTTCAGGCAGGCCTAGGGACGAGGGTCCATTGCGACTCAATGGTGTAGCCGGGGCATGCGCGTCCCTTTTGTACGACGGATCCGCATTGACAGGCTCGTATGGTTGATTGGCTGCTGTTTGTCCATAGCTGTCATATGTAGGGCGAGAGTATGAATCTGCATATGGAGGTATCCCGACACCGGGTCCAAATGAATCACCCATCGGAATATAGGTCGCGGATGTTAGGGGCTGGCCGTCGCCTGGAGGAGGGGGAGGGGGTATCGACAAGGCAGCTGGCTGGCGATTATATGCGAGATGTTGATTCTGTGTCGGGTTTGCCGGGATCAGAGGAGGCGGAGGAGGTGGTGGGAAGGTCTGCGGGACAGGCTGTCGTGCCCAGGCTTGCTGCCATGCCAGACCACCATGCTGTTGGGGTATTTTCGCATATGCTGCATTTGGAGGGGGTCCAGGAGGTGGCGGGAGGACAACCCCTTGCGTCTGCGTCGGTGGATGTCGAGGCGGCGGCGGGGGTAAGGACGTTATGATGTGCGACTGCGAGTTCTGCATTGATGGAGGCGGGGGAAGAGGAACGTATTGTTGTCGTTGGCCGTCCATAGTTGTGATATGGTCCAGCTCAGCTTTGTCTGTGTTCGAGTACAGCTTGTTGCCCCAAATGATATCTGCCGGCCTTCCCTCTCAGGATCCCAAAAAAAAAAGTAAAAAAGTATTCCTTTTCTCAGTCACGATCGCAAGAGGATGAAATGTATCACGACATTTTCGAGGAACCAGAATCCCACTCAATCGAGCCCATATGCGCCGTTCCCGAGGGATTTTCCTTCTAAGTAATGCTCGTAGTCTAGTTATTATCTCCGTAGTCTAAGCGACAACTAACACCAGACGGTAACAATCGCACATGATCGCGCGAGCAAGCTCGGGGCACTTGGACGATCCTCGGACGGACAACGTATCCGTACGAAGCAACAATCGACGACGGAAAGTCTTAAGGTCTCTCTGTTACTGAGCGCGCTGCGTAATCGATGGGGTTCGCGAAATCGATGGAACTGAGCGTCGGGCGATTCGGGGTGACCGACGAGGCCGCAGGTGATTTTTAACAAGAAATTGCCTACGATCCGGAATATAGTGAGCAGGAATGAAAATGAGACAAATAATTTATGATGAACATTTCCAGGCAATCAATCATCAGGGGCGGGTCCAGCAAGAGATAGGAGAAGGAACCAACTAGGAACAGCTCCCCAGGCTAGGCTAGTGTGCACCGCCGGCGGATCGGGGTCAAGAAGAAATGGGGACAAGCAAACATACCACACAGATAACAGTAAGATAGTCCAGATAATTCACAAAACAATTGTATTCCAGGCTGTGCGCGCAGCCGCGAAACACAAGACGTTTTCTTTTCCTTCTTTTTAAAAATGCCTTTGATGACTGGGGTCACTAGATGTCGGCAGGGAAATTCGTGGAGATAATTCTGAGAAGCTTTGATGCTGTGGCGCCGATCACGTGGTGTCCTCGGGAGTTGGGCACACAGGGGATTGTTAGTAGTACTTCGTATTATTGTTGTGCTGTGGTGTTATTACTGCTGGTACTGCTGTATATTACTGCATATATATATGTCTTAGTTCAGCTGAGAAGATAAAACACGAAACAATAAGCAATAGTCGGGAGACCCTGAAGCGTTGCAAGCAACGGCCATGTCCGTTCCCTGGTGCCCCTCAGCCCTATGGAGCCCCCAAGCGGCCCGTTATTTGGATAAACTTGCCAATAGTGCTAATTAATTCGGGTCCCTTGAAACACTCAGTCGGTCTATCGCCTGTCAGTGCGATTATTGAACCAGACATTCGGCAACATCTCGTTTGACACTTCTTGCAGGGTTTTACTACGTGTACACTCGGAAAACCGTCCATAGTCACCGCACACCAAGAGACTACCCAGAACTATTTGGTTGTAGCACACCTCCATTAACCTGGTTAGGGATTGATGTTCGGAAACTGTTCCCTTCACTCTTTAATCTCCGAATTATGCCCAAGATTCTGGGAGTCACGGAGAATTAGTCGACGTGCATTAACGTCTTCCCCTTTCTCACTGAAGTATTATAAAACTTTTCACAAGCTCTATTTGATTAACAAATTATATATATTATTAATGCAGGAAAAAGCGAAATTTCCCTTAGAAATCAACGTGAAATGTTGTCCTTATTTGTTTCTCGCAGCGGCTGCTTCTGCCGTCAATTTCAGAGGCGCCGGGGCATCTTCACGAGGCATGTGGATTTCGACCAGCTGTGGATTTGATTAACAAGTCTGAGCGAGTCATGGCGATTTTCCAATAGCTAACGAACCTGTAAATATGGACATGAAGCGAATTTTTGGTCTGCAAAAAGCTTGTTGAGCTCGTCCCTTGTCTTGATCCGGTATCCTTTGTATTCGTCCTTTGCCCCAAATGCTGGGGGCAGGTTCACGAAGTCCCATTCTTGAATATCGTTGTAGCTCTGTTCCCATCCGTGGATATATCTTTCGATAGTATAGCCTTCATTGCAGATCACGAAACTATTTCGCGGGTTAGTGAGGATCCACCAACGGTGTTTGCCGATTATAATCAATTCTCATGACTTACATTATTGGGTTGAGCTTGTTTCGAATCATAGTGCTCACTTCCTGCAGAGTGAGTTGAATACTGCCGTCACCAACAAATAGGATCGTTCGACGGTTGTTCTGCTCCTTCGCAGCGGCGGCCGCACCCTGACAAGCCCCAACGGAGTAACCAATACTACCCCAGAGAACTTGGCTAATAGCTGTAACACCTGGCGGGAACCGAGTTTCCCAGATACCGAAGTTTGCAGTCCCTGTCTCCGTGATGACGATGTCGTTTTCCTTCAACCATTGTCCGACTGTTGGCCATAAGTAGGCATGAGTGATTAACTGTTGATTCGAGCCTTTCTCACTCTCTGGTAGAGCATTGGTGATCGGCTGGACTGGTGCGGTGTTGACAGCACCCATCCTTTCGATCACCTTCCTCAAGACACCCTTCATGTTTGTTTCTGGGTATTCGGAGTAGCGAACTCGCACATATGTGCTATGGAAGTCAATGGTGTTCAGTTGGCCGATGCGGTATGTGAATCCGGCCGTGTTGAAGTCAGACTTGATAGCACCAATGCTCAGGACAAGATCAGACGACTCGACCTGTTCTCTGACACCTTGATTGGATCCATTCCCTGCATAAACTCCACCGTAGTTCGGATGCGTCTCGCTCACAGCTCCTTTACCCATTGGGGCCACAAAAGTCGGGAGGCCAGAGGCCTTCACCAGATCATGGACTTCTTCAAGAACTCGATGACGAATAGCACAAGCATCCACCAGAATCACTGGCTTCTTGGAGGCATGTAGGTACTTCAGGACAACATCGACGACATAGTCCTCTTTCTCGGGATCATTCCTTGGAAGTGAGAGATCAATGGGTGTCTTTAGTCGCTCTCCCTCGATTTTCTTCACAATCATGTCGGTAGGGAGCGTGATATATACAGGGCGACTCCGGACCCAGCATTCTCGAATAGCATTATCTATGAGAGTCGCTATCTCGTGCGTGTCGTCTAAGCGTGCAACGCTGCAAGAGAGCTCAGCGTTCATCCGGGTAAACACGTTGAAGTCCCCATTTCCTAGCGTATGATGGAGGAGCATCCCGTCCTTCTGCGACCTTGTGTGCGGTTGGCCAACAATATGAACAATAGGCACGAATTCCGAGTATGCTCCTGCAATGGCGTTAATCGCAGACAGCTCACCCACACCGAATGTGGTCACTAGAGCTGCGATTCCGTTAACCCGGGCATAACCATCTGCAGCGTATCCTGCATTGAGTTCATTGCAGTTTCCGATCCAATGGAGTCCGCATTTCGACAAGTAATCTAGCGCTACAAGGTTATAGTCACCTGGAGACATGCTTGGTTAGGAATTATTACATTGACCATGAATATTGAGACAACTAACCCGGGACACCGTGAACGGAGCGAATGCCAACCTCTTTCAGGCGTCGAAACAAGTATTCAGCAACGTCTACGGGCTGACGAAGCTCCCTTGTATAAATATCCGTAGCCATGGTGAACGGAGATCAATTGCAAGTAGAATGTATCGGCCAGGCTTGCAGACTGGACTGAAGAGTGAGAGAGATGGGTCTTTTCACTTCTGCAATATCTGGGGACTCGCTGGATATAAATGAAAACAAGAAAATCCTATGAACAATACGTCATGGAGACAAGAGTGCGTGATGTCATGCTTTGCGGCGAACACTACGACCGGTTACAGTAGCAACAAGCAGCTTCATTGCTATGTACTGGTATGATCGTCCCGGATGGATTTCTTTTCCGACGGACTGCTGCCAAGCCTTTCAGATAAGCTATGCTGGATTTCCATGGCACATGCAACTTGTATCGTAGAAGTAGTACTGAGTGTCGCAGAGGGGATGCTCATCCCCGCTAATCCCAATTAGGAATTCGCCGAATTTCTGGCGATAAGATAAAATCAGCACACACTGAAATCAACACCACGACGGTTGTTCCATCATCCACAGCAACAAAGAATACGGGACTAGAGAGTGTTCGATTCTGAGATCTATTAGGAGAAAGAAAGACAACGTGGATGCCAGGAACTGGAAAAAGAGCCATGCCCGGAGACGCAAATCAATCCGCCAAGAGAAGAAAGGTGCGCATTCGATCCGAAGCATGAGCATAATACAATTGGATCTATATAAGCCCACCCAGTATTGTCGATCAGAAACTCATATCGTGATAGGGAGGGGGCGCCAAATATCAGAAGCAGCAATCTAAAGGGACCATCGTCGAAAGCGGCGACTGGGGCGTCTTTGTCACCTGTGATATGGGCCGGGAGAGTAAATGTATCAGAGAGGCATTGGATATTTTTTCACAGGTTAGTCCGATGCTGGAGGCAGTCATGTTCTTCTTGGGTTCGTTTAACACATGTTAAGAGTGCCGAGGATACCGCCGGCGGAGATGATGACGGAGAGTCAAGCTCTAACGAGGATGACATCGAAGCGCAAATCAGACGAGAAGTCGAAGGGTTAAAACCCGGGAAAGAAAAACCTCGCAAGTTTCAAGCAATCAGAATGGAAGTCCCATGTGGTATGTTAATAGTCCTACAGCACCTCGTCTAAGAACAGTGTTAACGAAATATTTACAGTGGCTTTCATAAAATTTGATAAATCTATAGATCCTGTGCAGATGGTCCACAAGCTCTGCCTTGAAGCTCAAGCACACCCTGAAAAGAAGCGAGGCCGTTATATTCAACGGATGACGCCGATGGTTATGATGAAAAAAACTCTTAGTGTCGACTTGGAGGCTTTTGCAAAAGAAATCCTCGAACCTCATTTCCACTCTGGAGGACCACCCAAAAAGGTGAGTTGGATCTCCATGTTATCGAATCCGCACATGGAACAACAAGGAGAAAGGGCTAACCTGTTGATCACAGTTTGCCATTCGCCCTTCTATAGTTCGCAATACGAAGTTCGATCGAAACACTGTTATCAAGACAATTGCAAGCGCTGTTGGTGGTGGCCACTCTGTGGATCTCAAAAATTATGATGCGCTTATCTTGATCACCGTCATTCAAGTAAGCTTCCTTGCACCTATCGTTTTCTTTTCCAACTTTGTACATCATGCCTAATGTCATCACAGAACATCATGGGAATGAGCGTCGTCGAAGGCGATTACGATCAACTGAAGCGCTACAATTTGGCTGAACTTTACAGTCCAACTCCAAAGCCGCAAGCGTCTGAGAAGAAGGAATCTGAGACAACGGAATTGAAGTCGTAATGATCATATACTGGTAAATGCGTTGTTATGAAACTACTTTGCCCCTCAATGTTCGAGTCAGATATGAAAACTACTGGGAAAATGTGTTTCAAACGCGCAACGACTGTCGGTGGCATTTAACGACTATACATACGCCTTCAACCTGAATGCCCTGAATCCGGATACTTACAGATTCGTCTTGGGAGAACATGGCCTAGATGACGATTTTGGAATGTTTTGCTAGTTACTTGCATGATTATTCTTGGCTGGTGTTGAAAATATATCGTAGAGCCTTCCATACTTGTACTATTGTTGTTGCCTGGAATATCTACAAGCATGTGATTGCGACTCTCAGCACTTGTCCTGGTAGAGTTTCGTACCTATTGATCGAGGAAGGTCAGTCAAGCCAGTTAGATCTCCAATCTTTACTTCCTCTACATCCTAGGATGCTACGTAAGAATAAACATAAAAAGTTACCCAAATGACAGAAAAGATCATAGCGGGGCAGAGATCGATCTCCCGCGGCGGCAGTATCTCTCCGCTCCGCAATAAACGTCCCGCCTTGCAGTTGGCCCCCATCCCTCTTTTCCTTCTTCTCTTCCTCCCTCTTCAGCCCGTTTTATCTTCTCCAGGTTTGTAGATAACCATGGCTCAGTTCCTGCGAGGTAAACAAGCTGGTATTCAGAAGGACTTGTCTGAAGGATTGTCCCCAGACTTGTTCGTTCTCGATGATGTATGTCTTGGCGGCCCCGTTTGGTTGTCTTTCCCTTCTACAGACTGTTACTGACTGATGACCTCCATGATATATAGTTCGCGAGATGTGGCATTAACTCGCAAATTAGCGCGCTCGCATACGATCCTGTTCAGTCACTGCTTGCGGTTGGAACAAGTGATACTCAGTTCGGGAGCGGTCAAATCTATGTCTTCGGCCAGCGACGGGTGTCGGTTGTCTTCACATTTCCACGGAAAGCCTCTGCAAAATTCATCCAGTTCTGCGGCGATAAATTGATAAGCGTCGACTCCAAGAATGAAATCAGTATATATTCTCTCGAGACGAAACAGACCCTGGTCACCTACGCTCCTCCGAGTCACGTCACAGCGCTGTTGACAGACCCCAGCCTGGATTATGCATTCATTGGTCTCCAGAGTGGTGCGCGCAAACAAAATTCTGAAGTGATAACAATTGTATATGCTAATGGGATGACACAGGCGACATCATCGCTTATGACCTTGATCGCGAGACTCTTACGCCGTTCAGGGTCCCCAACCTTTGGGCGCAGCACAACCCGCGGGCTCGGCTTTGTCCTGTTATCGCTTTATCCTTTTCGCCTCGTGACATTGGCAAGATACTTGTGGGATATCCGGAAGGGGCTGTGACATTTACATTCAAGCAGAACACACCACAGAAATATTTTGAATACGAAGTGCCCCCAGGTGCGTTGGGTGGAAACTCCGAGGTGCCTCACCGAGAACCGCGAAGGCCTAAATTGACCAAAGCCCTGTGGCATCCCAATGGAACTTTCGTGTTGACTGTCCATGATGATAATAGTCTGGTACTCTGGGATTCGAAAGACGGCCGCAAGATTGCAGCGAGGACAATGCAAGATCTGAATATCGACCAACCCGGAACCGAATTAGGCAGGCCGCCATCAGTGAGTGGCATTGCTGCGCTCAAAGAACCCATCACGCATATTGCATGGTGTGTCAAACAGAATGGGGACGACAGCGGCCTATTAATTGCTGGCGGTCGTCTACCATCTGACCCCAAGGGTTTTACCTTCATGGATTTGGGCTCGACGCCCAACTACCAAACGTCCACTTGGCAGATGCTTGAGAACTACTTTGAGAACCCAAAGGCACAAATCAATATACCCACACCTCCTGGTGCGCAGATTCTTGATTTTTGTCTCATTCCACGCGCCTCACCATACTATGCTGGTGGCCATGATCCCATCGCCGTGATTGGGCTACTGTCCTCGGGAGAACTAATAACCATGAGCTTCCCCAGTGGCCACCCAATTACGCCAACGAATATGATTCACCCCTTCCTCTCGTTTGTCCATCCGTTTGTGAACAAAATCACGTTAACAACGGTGGACCGTTCGGCCTGGTTGGGCTTGAAGGAGAAGAGGTCACAGGGTCCCAAATTTTTACTTGGTGGCGCCGAAGGAAAGAAGCCGCTCAAACGCTTTGAAGACCGTAATATCATCACGACAGCTCATGCAGATGGGACTATTCGTCTCTGGGATACTGGTAACGATGATGAGATTGAGAATGGAGAAGTAATCCAAGTTGACCTGGCTCGTGCGGTGGGCCGTATGGGCAATGTCGAGGTTACGGAAATGTCCATGGCCCCAACGACTGGCGAACTTTCGGTTGGTCTTAAGACCGGAGAGGTGGTGGTCTTCAGATGGGGAAATAATGCGAAATATGGCGTGGAAGAACCTTCTGGCACCAATGCTGGACCGGGAAAAATAACCAAAATAAATCACAGAACTGACCCAGGACTGAGGACGGGTCTCCTTCCACTTGGTCTTCTGGAGATGCAGGGTCCGGTGTCCGCTTTGAAGCACAGCCACGTAGGATTTGTTGCTGCCGGATTCGAAGGTGGTAGTCTGGCAATCATGGACTTGCGTGGCCCAGCACTTATTCATACAGCGCATCTATCAGAGCTCCTCAAGCCAAACAAGAGAGGTAGCTTGTTTAAATCTCGTTCGCCCGAGGAGTCCCCCCCAGAATGGCCCACGAGCATCGAGTTTGGCGTGATGACATTAGATGGAGAAGGTAAGAGCCAAATCATGGCAATACGTACTAAGATTGAGCTTACACTAATCTCCTTATGTCCAGACTATTCAAGCATCTGTTGCTTCGTTGGTACCAATAGAGGAAACCTAGCAACATTCAAAGTTCTACCTGGAAACGATGGAGTCTACACAGCGCAGTTTGCCGGTTCAACATTGCTCGACGATAAGGTCATCAAGATCATTCCTATCGATGCGGAAGTCGGCAGTCTTGCTCTAGCTACTCCAAATGCAGTTGGGGGCCTACGTCATGGAGCAACTATTAACGGTGCTGTGGTTGGTGTGACGGCTTCGGGTTGTAGGGTATTCAAGCCTGCAACGTCCAAAGGAGCCCATAAGTCTTGGGATGACTACTTGTGTGACTCTGCGGCAGTCGTAAAGACTGAAGGCCGGGGTTATAGTCTTGTTGGGCTTTTCGGAGACGGCAACGCTCGGGCATTCTCTCTTCCGGCCCTCAAGGAAATTGGCTGCAGCAGTGTTGGCCATATTATTGATATGAGGCGTCTGTCGGAGTCTGTCATTGCTCCTAACGGAAACGTCCTGGTTTGGACCACTCCTTCTGAAGTGGGATTATTCAACGTTTGGGGCTCTGGGTCTGGATTGTACGCCAACACCGTTAACTGTGTCATATTTGCCGCCAAGTTGCTGACTTTATGCTACAGAAAACTTTCTGAGGACCAGCTTTTTAACCCACAGGCAATTTCTCCCCCGCGACCTACCATTACAAATGTCCAGTGGATTTCTGGTACCCAATACATCTCTCCAGCTGATATGGATATCCTGAGTACGTATAACTAGAGATAATAGCCAGTATTCTTTTGCTGACAACTCCACAGTCGGAGGCCCTGAGCGACCACCATCGAAGCGGATGCAAGAGCAGATGAAACTCGATGAACAGGAGCGACGCAGGGCTGCCAGAGAGGGACGAGCTATGTCCAACCAGGAACCGCAAGGAAGCCAAGAAGGCTACATGTCCTATATGCAGCGTCAAGTTAACGAGCGTACGGATCGAATCGGCAATTTCAGTGACAGTATGGATCGGCTGGAGGAGAACAGCAATGGCTGGGCTCGCGATGTCAACAAATACGTCCAGAATCAAAAGAAAAAAGCTCTTTTTGGAGGTAAGACTTTTTACAGATCCGTACTCGTGCTCTACTGATCGTGCTATATAGCTTTGGGCTCGAAGTTTGGATTCTAACCTGATGTTGAGGGAAGGTCAGATTGTGAATTATGTGGTTTGGAGTTATTCGTTATTCGTTTACAGCATACCCTTGGTTGTATCTATTGCTTATGTGTTACGACTGATTCAGAAGCCCGAACTAATGCGTCTTTGCTACTTACGGAAATTGATATATCTAAGTACTAATATTATTGACTCAATCGCGCTTTAAAGATGGCCAATATAAAACTTACAAGTAGGAAGCAATTATCCTACACTTCCCAGGTCCCTTAAAGCCTCCCTATACAACTTCTTCGCCTTTCCTCGTCTCGCATACAACCGTACCAAATCCGTATTCACATTCACAGCGGCCCTCACTTCATTCCTCACCAATCCCTTCGTCACATCGTCAGTAATTGCCACATGAAGTAGTTGTATGGATAGAATAAGAGGTTGGTTACGGGTTGGTGAATGGGATGTGAATGCCGCTTGATGGACAGGAACAGGCACCTGGTGAAAGCTAGTAGTTGCAGGAGAATCCCGGCATGTTGTCTTGGATAGAACAGGCGATGAATGGTATGGCGATGTTAATAGTCGATTTAGAGCGAATGAGAGGTGTGTTTGCTCAATTCATCTCAGTAGCTTTTAGAGAAACGATGAATAGTAACCGTCAATACTGAGGAGTTATCTCGTTCGTTGACTTAAATACCTGGGGGTTTTAGATAGTCCATTCACATTATATAGACGCCATTGCGGTCCCGGCCGACAGTAAGAAGCCCATGAATAAAACATGACTGGTCCATATGGATTCACTACTTTGTATTCTGTATACACTGCAATCGCCATCACCAGCTACACGGCATATGTATGGTAGCTGCAGCCACAACTAAACTTTGCATATCCCTAACTAATACGGTGCACTCAGATCCCAAAGAGAAGTAACTACTCAATGTTTAAATTATACCTTTCTATCTCATAAAGTATATAGTACTGCCGGCCTTGAAAATATATAATAGGCTCGGGCAGTTCCGATGTCATGAAACGTCGCAAACCAAATCGTAAATCATTCAAAAAGGAAACAAACAAAAATCCCCATCCTACCTCATCGATTTAGTGGACCATAACGTCGGCTTGCTGCTGAGGTCCAGGTGCCGCTTTGTGTTGCTCCGAGTCATCGCCCATTTCGATATCCTCTTCACCATCAGCTCCCTCCTCCTCATCTTCTTCGTCATCATCATCACTTTCATCCTCGATATCCTCACTCTCACCATCGGAAATTTCTTCCTCCTCGCCAGTGACAGGTTCAGCGCCTTCCATTTCATGATCCTCGCCCTTGGGCTCTTGCGACTCGGTATCCTTGAGTTCTTTAAACAGAGCGGCTTCAAGTTCGGTCTCTTCAGCACCGTAGGCATTGCTGTCATCATCTAGATTGTCGGCCTCGGGTTGATCGGGCGGATATTCAGCCGGAGCAGACTCTTCGGAATCCCTGACAAGAAAAGTCAGTTTTGAAGAAATTGAAAGAGAGAGAGAGAGAGAGAGCGCGAGAGAGAACATACCACTTAATTGCGAACCTGGTCACACGGGGCTTCTCAGCAAGGATGTTTCGGGTGATCCGTTCGATGATTGGCTTCGCTGGGGGTTCCGCCCGAAGCTCCTCGCTGTCATATTCGTTGTTCACGTAGTATCCCACACGGACGAACTCTCTGCCATCGTAGCTGCAGGTGAGGAGGATTACAGTAACTCCAAGGATGTCGGAATCAGGGATCCGTTTGAGGTCCGGAGGGTTAACCTCGAAGATGAACTTGTTGACACCGACGGGAATGGGTCCAACAAGCACGGAATCCAATTCTTGATCATATTCAGAACTAGTTAAATTAGTGAAAGTCCGCGTGGGATTGTTTGTTCTTCGCGGCGACTCACGAAGTTGCCGAACCGACATAGGTGAGCTTCCATTCCAGATCTAAGCAGGCGGTATTAGCAAATATGTTTCGGTTTCGTGCCAAAAGAATACATTATGTACCTTTTTGGAGTTGTTCTAGACACTCGAAAGTGATCTCAAATTGGTAGGGCGCTAGGAACGTAGCCGGGTTGTTGAGGAGTTTAACCCCAAGGAGAGAGACGACCGACATGACGAGTTAACGGTATATGTAAAATGGGTAATTCTGGTAAATGAATTATGTATGGGAAATTGGAGGTTAAAATTTGAAAAGAAGATAGAGTGCAGAAATATAAAAGAGGGAGGGAAGGAAGGAGGCACAGCTGCATCAAAACTGTTAACGAGACAACGGCGCCCAACGATTGGCAACGCGCCGCTTTCGCGTTGCGGTCTGGTCACGCATTTGCGCGCTCACCGCCTTTGTCACGTGAGAAGCTGCTGCAAAGCTTCTGCGGTTAACAGCATAGCATCATCAGAGCCATCACTACTCTGTACTCTCTCGCCAGTCAACTCCTTCTTTTGGCGCACTTTATAGGCCTCCTAACGAAAGTGCCTTTAAATTGGTTTTGCCCTGGCTTACTCATTTCTTTTGGTGGTATTTCTATTGAAGTTTTTTAAGGTGCGTTGCGCTGCGATGCCGACAGCTACCTCCCCGAAAAGTTTCACACCAGGAACTGACTCGCTGGTTGTTATATGACAGGACCCTAATTATATATCGCTATTCTATCTATCTGTTCCGACCGCTTCGTTGCGATTGAGATCAAATTTTCCCATTATCATGGCTGAAGATGACGCTGAGAAGGCCTTCTTCCAGGCTCAGACAATGAATGCGGACTCTGTGGACTATGAAAAGACTGTTAAGGAGCAGGGTGCAGATAGTTCAGATTCAGATGATTATGATCCTTCAAAGACACTGCAAGATGAATATTCTGCTTCTCAAAGTGAAAATGTTTCTCCAAATGATCTTTCTCCCTCTGATTTCAATCCTCCCCAACAACAGACTTCTTCCCCCTCTGAACCCAACCCTAGTCAGCAGCCTAGCGGTACTGTCCCATCCGAAACGCCTTCGCGAACCGAGTCCCAGACCCCAGCCTCTGCATCGCAGCCTAAGGCTAGGACAATCGGCGGATTCGTGGTTGAGGATGAGGATGAGGACGAGGACAAGGACAAGGGTGACGGGGACTATGAACCCCCAGCTGTACTTGGTGTTGAGGAAGACATGGATACCACTCCTGTGAACATGCTCCAGCAATCCGTTTCAGGAAAAGTGAATCAATCTACTTCTACCCCTGATGTATCATTACAGGAATCTGCCACTTCTCAAAATGCCCCTAATAGCTCTTACCATTCTGTTGCTGCTTCTGCTCCCAATAATGATATGTCTACCACTGCTGGTCAGAACCTGTACGGCTTACAGACGTTGCAGTCTGACAGCGTGCAGGCGAGTGCTGCGCCAACTCCCACGCCTGAATCACCGTCAGCCCCCAAGGGCCGTTTACCACACGACCGGGTGGGAATCTTGGAAGACAGGATCCAGGAAGACCCGCGAGGCGACATTCCTGCATGGCTTGAATTGATCAATGAACATAGAAGCCGCAGCAGGATTGACGGTGCTCGCGAAGTGTTTGAACGATTCTTGAAAGTGTTCCCGTTTGCCGTAAGTATACTTGTCATTCGAACCTATTCTCACCAATTGACTGAACTAACCTGTTGCAGGCCGAGCAATGGGTGGCCTATGCCAACCTGGAATCGGACATTAGCGAGCTATTTCGTCTCGAGCAAATATTCAACAGGACTCTTTTGACCATTCCTGACGTCCAACTATGGTCTGTATACTTGGATTACGTTCGTCGACGGAACCCGTTGACTACGGACACGACGGGAAACGCAAGGAAGATAATTTCGTCTGCGTACGACCTAGCGCTACAATACGTTGGAATGGACAAAGACTCAGGGTCTATATGGAGTGATTATGTCCAATTCATACGCTCTGGTCCCGGTAATGTCGGTGGCTCGGGGTGGCAGGACCAGCAAAAGATGGACCTGCTTCGTAAGGCATACCAAAGAGCCATTTGCGTTCCCACACAGGCCGTCAACACTCTTTGGAAGGAATACGACCAGTTTGAGATGGGGTTGAACAAACTTACGGTAACGTGAATTCCAGTCTCTGACTCGGCCATGGTTCTAACACTTTACCTACTATGCTTCTAGGGCCGTAAATTCCTCCAAGAACAATCGCCCGCGTATATGACCGCCAGAAGCTCGTACACGGAGCTGCAGAATATCACTCGGGATTTGGTGCGCACAACACTCCCACGACTGCCTCCTGTCCCAGGCACCGAAGGAGATACCGAATTCGCACAGCAGGTCGATATCTGGAAGCGTTGGATTCATTGGGAGAAGGGTGATCCCCTTGTTCTGAAAGACGATGATCCTGCTGCATTCAAAAACCGTGTAGTGTACGTTTACAAACAAACACTCATGGCTCTCCGTTTCTTGCCAGAGATGTGGTTTGAAGCAGCCGAGTTCTGTTTCCTCAATGGTATGGAGACTGAAGGGACCGACTTCTTGAAGCAAGGCATGGAGGCCAATCCAGAAAGCTGCCTGCTCGCCTTCAAGCGTGCAGACCGACTAGAGATTACTTCGGAGTCCGAACAAGACTCCATCAAGCGAGGTGCCAAGGTCAGGGAGCCTTATGACCAGGTTCTTGATGCGCTCTACGACTTAATCGCCAAAGCCCGCACCCGCGAAGCTCTGGACGTTGAGCGCATGGAGAAGATGTTTGCAGAATTAAACCCCGAGAAGCAGCCATCAAAAATCGAAGATGATGATGACGATCAAAGCGATGCGAAAGCAAGAGAGTCAATGAAAAATGCCCAAATCGGAGCCGTCAAAAATGCCCATGCTGTTCAGATTGGTATTCTTTCCAGAACCATCTCTTTCGCGTGGATTGCTCTCATGCGTGCGATGCGCCGTGTCCAAGGCAAGGGTAAACCGGGAGAGGCGCCTGGGTCAAGACAGATATTTGCAGATGCTCGCAAAAGGGGCCGCATTTCCAGTGATGTTTACATTGCCAGTGCCCTTATCGAGTATCATTGCTACAAGGATCCTGCCGCTACCAAGATTTTCGAGCGTGGTGCAAAGCTATTCCCCGAAGATGAGAACTTTGCCCTCGAATATCTCAAGCATTTGATTGATATCAATGATGTCATTAGTAAGTCGGCTTGCTGACCTTCTTAAGACAGGAATGCTAACTTTTCTTCTAGACGCGAGAGCGGTGTTTGAAATGACAGTACGAAAATTGGCATCGAATCCCGACAATGTCCACAAGACAAAACCTATATTTGCGTTCCTTCATGAGTACGAATCCCGATATGGTGATCTCATCCAAGTGATCAACCTTGAGAACCGAATGCGCGAGCTGTTTCCTGAGGATCCGACCTTGGAACAATTTTCTCATCGTTATTCTACCCCATCGTTCGATCCCACTGCTGTGCGACCTATAATCTCCCCATCTCAGGCCCGTCCTAAGGCATTGTACCCTGCTGCAGAACCATCTACGTCTCGCCAAGGCACCCCTCCGAGATATCCGGAAGCACCTTCAACAAACTCCCCAAAGAGGCCATTGGAAGACTTGGACGACGACTTAGGTCGGCCGCGCAAGTTCATCCGGGCGGAATCGCCGCTTAAGGCTGTTCAGGGACGGCGGTTAGATCAGCCAAAACGTCCCCAGCAAGTCAATGGCGGCCTTGGATCTCAGTTCAGATCTCAAGGATCACCTGCGCCACTACCTCGGGAGATTGTGAACCTTCTCAGTGTCATTCCCCCGGCATCTACCTATAATGCCGGTCGTTTCTCGCCGGAGAGATTAGTTGAGCTCTTCCGCAGGATTGATATACCCGGTTCCATTGGACAGGTTCCCCTACCAGCCCGGAGTTTAGGAGGTGGACAAACTCCAGTTGGGATACAATCGTTTTCCAGTAAGCTTCATCTGTCCTCAAACCTTTTCTGATTTGAATTCTCGTGCTTACAATCTGCTAGGTATATTTCGTCCGTAAACCTCGTGATTTTTACTCGAAATATACGGCGTTCTTGCTTGGTATGACATCGACCATCGTCTCTTTTTAAGGATACTGGCTTTCTTTCTCTTTGTCTCTTCTTTTTCTTCTTCTTCTTTTTTTTTTTTTTTTTTTTTTTTTTTTTTTTTTTTTTTTTTGGTTGTGGCGATTATTTGCGTCAAATATGTTGTACATTTGGGATGGCTATCTCTGTACGCAAAACCTTCGAGAATTATATTATCTTGCATCATCGTTTGCTAGTTCTTGAATCGTTTAGTCAGGCAGTTCGGGCTACTTGGCTTCTTCATTCGTTGTCCTCGTCACTATGTATCTTCTCTCCAGAGATGCACTAATTCAGAATAGTAGTCTTGAGTCGAATACTATCCAATTCTCGTATTTTTTTTTTTTATAAAAAAAAAAAGGGGGGGGGGATTCTATACCACCCTACAACCTCGGGGCAAGTCGCAATAGCCTTTACCTGATCGTTTATGTCTCGGTGATTTATAATTCATTTAAATAACTCTGAAGTGCCTGTAGAAGTTGATGCTCCTGTTCTTACCTGGGACTGTTTGACTTAAAGGCGAGGTGGAAACCTTGCTTCTACGGAATACAAATTACATTGCCGGTTCTCTTTGGTGGATTTAGAACATAAATTCTTCATAGAGTCTAGTATTCCTATTTTATCTTCATATCTAGTTGCATCTGTTCGTTGCCCACATTTTGCTATCTGGCAAAGCCAGCCCGAGCCCTATTCCCGGCTTTCCTCCCCCGCAATGTCAATTTCTCACATCAACCTGCGACAAATTGTTATGATAAAATCGCTGTAACTTTGGCGCATAATATCCAGAGTTCCATGGTCCATTCTTTGTCAGAGAATCATCAACGGGGCTTTGCTTTTTTTCCTCAACGCGTCCAAGTCATGGTTTCCTCTTTGGGCCTCAACGCGCTCGTCACCAGTCACGCCTTCCTGTTCTGGAAAACCCTTTCTCCCACGCGTCGCTCTACTTAAACCTTTTCTTCTCCTCCAATCTCCCGCTCCTTTTTCTCTTTATCTTCCAATCCTTCGTCTCTTTTATCCTTTCCATCTTCCCTTATCCTAAGCTCACTTCTACCCATCGACTCTCGTCATCTTTACCTGTTTCTTTGGCTCCAGCCGTCCGTTGCTAGGAGACGGTGTCCCACGTTTTCTACCAACAACCACAAGCGTTTGTTTGGGCTCAATAGTAAGCTTCACAACTTTCCCCTTTGTGTTCCCAACCCTAACAACTGTCGAAGATCCTATCGACA